GAAAACATCAAAAAAAAAAAAAAAAAGTAAGGGGCTCTGCCCACCCACCCCACACACGGCGCCCAAAGGCCACTGTGAGCTGCGTCCAGGCGTGGAAGGGGTTTCTGTGAAGGGCTTCTGTGCGTGGCGACCCTGCAGCTCCGGAAGCTGTCGGTGACATGGCCCTGCAGGCCGACTGCCCTCAGCACAGCCTCAGACCGGGAAGCCCAACAAAGGACCGCACGGCAGCACGGGGACACGTGTGGGCTCCGGGTGGCATGATGTGGGACCCTGCGTCGTTTCTCTCACCCCCTCAGGAACTGCACAGCACTGGCTCCTCGCTCCCTCATGGGCTCACGCAGGGCACACTTCGGGCCCTTGCCCAGCAGGGCATGCAGAGTGCTCGGGGCCAGGCCCCACTCCGGGGTCTTTGCCGTCCAGTGGGTGAGGGCAGCAGACACTGAGCCTGCACTGGGCCACTGCTGCAGGGGACAGCGGAGCAGGGGAGCAGGGACGGCAGGACAGCCAGGCCCTGCCTGGCCAGCTCAGACAGCCCGCACTGGGCCACCGTGCTGCAGGGGAGAGCAGAGCAGAGGAGAACGGGCGTCAGGGCAACCACGCCCCACCGGACCAGCTCAGACAGTCCAGCCCGCACTGGGCCACCGTGCTGCAGGGGACAGCAGAGCGGGGGAGAACGGACGTCAGGGCAGCCGTGTCTCACCTGGCCAGCACCTGCCATAGGCGCCCTGGTCTCAGCCTGTCACAGAGCTGCCCGCGTGAGCAGTGTCCGGAGGGGCCAGCAGGCGGGGCTCAGGTAGCCTGTGAGGTGCCTGGAATTGCAGCAGCAAGATGGTGGGGAACAGGGTTGGGCAAAGATGCGTTCCAGGTCCACGTGAGCTCAGGGTAGACGCTGCTGCTTCCTGAGGCTGCGGCCCGAGGCTCAGGGCCTGTGCCGGCTTCTTGTAGCTGGGGAGTAGCGCCCCTTTGGGGCAGGTGCACGTGGGATTCCCACACCTAGACAGCATCCGCAGCGTTTGGGAGTAAGGGGGCTAAAATTAAGGTGGGGATTTTGTTCTGTTTCTTCGTCACTGGGTGTTTTGTTTTACTATTGAGAGGCTCTTGGGATTCATCAGACCAGCGTGCCTGCTGTCACTCTGTGCCTGCGGAGGGTGAGAGGCAGCAGCTGGAGTGTGGAGAGAGCGCTCCCTCCAGCATCTGCATTCAAGGAGCCTGGGAGTGGGTGGGGACCGCTGAGCCGCCGCTTCGTGTCCACTGTCTGCCCCGGCAGGGCGTCCCTCTTGCTTTCCTGGGTCAGCCATGGGTGGGCAGTCTGTGACTCACGACCACACCATGCAGCTGGGCCGCCACCCACGCCGAGAGTGCAGGGCCTGGGCAGGCGAGGG